CAAACAAGAGAGAAGTATCAATATAATACAATATTATCCACATTTATCTCAATTCTCATTAATTGCTTCCTTTTGACAGCGAATTAGTTCATATTGTATATTCGATATTTTTACAATTTATTAATGTTATAGTAATCACACATATTAGAATATATTAATATTATATTGACAGATATACTATTTTTATATAAAGTATAAAAATATTCTTTTCCTGAAATAATTACACTGCGCTTTAAAACATTTATTCTAGAATGAAAAATCTATTTTCACTTAAGACCTCTATTTATCAAATAGATATTTTTTATATAAGCCGTCCGTATATCACTCGGTTTCCAGGAAAAAGCTATCACAATTTCTTTTCTTACATATAAAAAGGAATGCACGCGTGAGGGAATTGAGATATAAGGTAACAAGTATCAAAATGTGTTCCCTTTCAGGCTCTTACATTTTCTGCTCGGCCGCTCGTCTGAAAGTACAACACGAAGCGCAACTACGACTTTATAAAAACGATGGCGACAAAGAAAAACAGCCATTCGTGAAGAATCGGTATATGTCGACTGTTGTTAGTTGAAAGAGAAAACAGAATAAAAGAGAAAGAAAGAGAAGATACAGCAACAGAAAAAAGACGAACATGCGATGGAAAAAGAGAGAAGTAATACAGCGTAATTTGCGACAATGATGCCGAGAGAATCTCGAAACAAAGTACGAAACAATGCCGCTATTTTGCCCGTTTATTTTGTATAGCATAATTTTAAATTCCCATTAATGATGATACACCACGCAGTTTGTGTCAAATATTATATCAATTTTCTCTTTCGTTTTTTGACGTTTCATACACTGAGAAACGTCAAAAAACGAAAAAGAAAATTAATAAAATTCCAATATTATCATAATTTGTTATTTTATCATATTTTATTATTAAAAACTTTATACATACGTAAAAAATTAAAATATATTTTATAATATTGTATCATTATATATTTTAATTTTTCATAAATCTTTAATTTTAATAAATTTAAATATTTATGAAAATACTTTAATAAAATTATTTTCTACGTCTTTTAAGATTTAAAAATATTGTAATAATAAATCAGCATGATTCCACGTCTGCAACATTATATGTACATTCGACCGCGAAATGCATATGTGTGCTTGCATCGAGAACTTAACACGGGTCAGTCATGTAACGAGTATGACATCGCAAACAGCGCGTGCAGCAGCGACATTACGTGTGCGGATTACATCAGGGACACCGAGCTGCTTATGAGATTGTGAGTCGCTACTAGAATTTAAAATGAAAAAGAGCTACTGCAGAACGGAGTAGCGATGTAGTCGTCACACGTCAATTACTAGAATTCACAAGAAAAAAAGGGGCAAATTTAATCCCTATTCATATAAATGTCTTTTTGTGTTTTTATGAAAATGAAAAATCAGAGAAAAGAATAAATGCTAAGAAAAATGCATACATGCATTTAATCTTACTAATCTCTGTTGTTTCTTTTAGAAAGATTATTTCAAAATCCTTAATTTGCGAAAACATAAAAAGCTTTTCGCTGCATTTTTAAAAAACTTGATAACTTTTTCTTTCCTTAAATTCACTGATTCGATTGTGTGACAAAACAATTATGTATAGCATCATTCGTTATTGAAAGAAATTTAAATCAACACTTCAGATGTGCACAGAAGTCTTTTAGTCGCGTCAAGAAAAATAAACAACAAGAGAGTTTGCTCTCGTACGAAATGGCGTAGCTTTACGCCTGCTTTAGAGTTCTTTTTATCTTCAGTTTACGGCACGAGTTCGTCAAATAGCCAATCATGAGGGTCTCTCTCTCTCTCTCGGGACGCAGAAAACTAGATGGAAGCGAAAAAATCAGCAAATGAGTGACAACCTTTCTAATAAATATCATTCTCGCAGCTGCGTAAATAACTATGTCATTTTTATCATATATATTTTTGTATGTGTGTGTATAATATATATTGTCATTAATAATATTAATATATGCATATATATCAAATCTAATTTCATATATTATATATATATATATTATTCATCATTTTTTTATCATTTCAATTTCGTGAATAAAGAGTTCACAAAGATTACAGAAATCTGCAAGCTTTAACTTTATTTGCAAGTTATAAATAAGCGCTTCTTTTTTTTATTTCTTACAATTTTCTTGGACACGTAATAAATAAATAAATAAATATATATATATATATATATATATATGAAGCGCTTATTTATAACTTGCAAATAAAGTTAAAACTTGCAGATTTCTGTAATCTTCGTGAACTCTTTATTCACGAAATTAAAATGATAAAAAAATGATGAATCCACAACGTTTTAGGAAGACATTTGCATTCGTATCTCGTTCTATTAGGATTAGTTCACCTAGCAAATATTTTCTCCGTCCGCTATTCTTTTCCCATTTCATAAAAGAAGCGTAAGCCGGAAGCATAAACTCCGTGCGGCAGCAAATATAAATGAAATCGCGATAATCTCGTCGTCGCCGCGGCGGCGAGCGTTCCAGCGAGAATTATATTCCTCGCAGCATCCGCGGAGCAACGAAGTGACTCGGTATGCTAATAGCGACGCGAGGCGGGTAAAAATGCGGCTCGCAATCAGCGTTTATATGAAAAACACTCCGGCGTCTCTACCTCCGACGCACAAACCGTCCCGACCTACGTTGTCAACGCTCGAGCGGCGTCGCGATATTACTCAAGTCTTGCCTTCGCGAGCGAAATCGAGCCTTTCCCTCTCTGCTTTCGTCCTCCTTTAGCTTTCGTCTCGACGACTCGGGAGCGGAAAATAGCTCGTATTTCGGACGGATAATGCACGACGCACCCTCCGCCACCCTCTCCTGTCACGTCCCCGTTTATGCGACTTTTCCGCGGATTCTCGTCGCAAATCTTCTTCGCTCGTTCGCTCGCCCGAGGGCGGCAGCTTTTTCAAATTTAGCAACGTAACAGAAGTAATAATCTCTATTAAAATATACTACCATATATGTATAATATTTCATCTCGTATTCTCTCTCATTCGTTAAACTGCTGACTTTTTTTGTCAGAAATTACATAAAATCGTATTTTATGAAGCTTTCGTCGTTAAAAATATATCTTCATTCCTCCGTTAAATATTAATATTAAATATTATTAATGCTTGATGTATATTATACTGTAATATTATGTAATGTGCATACTGTCCTCAAATAATTAAAATTGAATACATCTCATTATTTCCTTCGAAATTATAATCTATGATTTTTTTAGCGCGAGAAACGGTCAGTGATAATTTTTCAAATAAAAATAGTTCCAGAACTTGACAAAACATAATGTTAAATATATGATTGCACAATTTTTAGGATGCATTATCGATGTCTTTATACCATGACAGAATATTCTTACAGAGTTTTAAAAAAGCAATTATCGACAATGATGTGCAATTTCGATGATGCCACGGTTTTTATCTTTTGAAGACAAACTGTGTCCGCGTCTGCAACGACAGGCGCTCGTGAAAAATTGACCATCGTCACTGAAAAGAGTGTAATGTTGTGTTTTCAACGCGACGAGTGAAAACTTGAATAAAATATGATTAACGACCCGGATCGTTACTCCTGTGCCAAGTTACCGTAACTACTGTGTCGAGAAGCACATCGCATGTGTGCCTTTCGTCTCCCGCTTTAACATTGTCGCCATACAAAACAATTTCTGACGGTAAATCATGCCAAGAATTCTACAGAATTCCTGCATCCGCAATCACACCGAGATGTATTCTCATGACAAATTCTTTGAGGCGCTCGAATATTGTACTCCTACAAATTTTAATAAGCAACTTATTACAATAATTACTCTTTTTACATTAGACGCATTTTTATATTTAGCATTAAACACCCTAGCGATCGAATTGTAAATGCTGAAATTAATTGATAAGCATGACTTTGTTATCTACACATACATTTATAATAAAGTATAAATATTAATATTTAAACACGTTATTTTTTAGCTATGACTTTTGCTATAAAACTCTTAAATTTTCGGCAGAAAGAAATCTTATTTAGCTCATACTGTTCCATGAAAAAATCTTTCTAATCGTGTACGGATAATCCATAGAGAATTTCTCTTTCGACAAACGAGGTAGGTTAAAGACGATTAATTCGCAGTGAGGACGGATCCGTAAAAGCCGACCTGGCAAATTGAATTCGGGATTTTCAGGCACCATTAGCGGCTCTGCGGGAATCTGAATTCGGTCTGAATCCAATTCATACGACAAACGAAGAGGGAACATTTGGGCTCTGTGACCGCGAACCGCGGGGTCCGATCGGATACAAGGCCAGAATAGTTAAATCGTAGTCGTGTCATGAAAATTGCTGCATGCGAGCGCGACAATCGCGCGGAATATCAATGAGAATCGGGGAATGTCATTTTTAACCGCGCATAAACAGAGTATCGATATCTGACGTTCTAAAATTAAATCATTGTTATTATTATTACATAAATCTCTGTTTCTAAACATATATTATTTGTATCACTCATTGCATACTCCATACTTGTGTTATAATATGATAAAATATCGACTTTAATTGTGTGAAACTTCGCTATGCATATTTTTCATTTAAGGAAAGACAAGAAAAATGTCAGACGAGTCATATTTATACATCTTTAGATACGTCAATTCTATTTTATTCTTGCGTTAACACGTCGAGACTACAAAAACTACAGATTCGATACTAAATGCGACAATCGACCGGCGACGCAACGAAAGGTTCTTGCGCTTCTCTGTTTTGGACGGTGGCCAAGGACGGGTTGCTCAACTCCGACTACTTGCGTTTATATTCCCGATGATGTCTCCCTCTCTCCCTATACATTCGATGGACAATGCCACGAGGACAATAATTGCTATGCACGATTACGTGGATCGAAAACGATAATCGCCAATCAATGCACGTACGATTGAACGCGTATAAAAGTGCGCCACCCCGAGAGCATAAGCATCAATCGATCTTCGATCTTCGAGCTATCCAAAGCTTCCAATTTCCTTTCAACTCAGCTAGCAGACATGAAGTGCTTCGCCGTGAGTAAAAACCACTATAATCTTTCTTCGTGATATTAGTGCTAATATAGTTTAGCAAATAATAAGATTTAACGAAATTATAAAAGTTCAACATTTTCTTTCTCTCTTATTGTTAGTTAAAAAAATTAAAAGAGTGTTTTATTTTTCTCTATTTTCTTAACACCCCTCACAAGTAAGAAAACTGAAAATTTAATATAAAATTCGATTTTTTGCTTCTCTTAAGAGGACTTTAAGTTAAGTTCGGTTCACTTTTTATTGAATATACAGATTGAAAAATCCTCCGCTTTGTTGTTTATACCTCGACATGCAGAACTTTGGTATTAAATAAGTATTGTTATAAACTCATGCAAAAGAGGCTGATAAAAAAACTGTCATTTTTTAACTTTTATTCTTTGTTTTATACGAAATTACTGTATAGCCAAAAAAATTCAAAGTCGATAAAACAGACATGCATCCCCCTAACTTACTTCTAATAAACCTGTACTTATACGTTTCTCTGCTACTCTCAGGTTATCGCTCTCCTCGCCCTGGTGGCCGCTGCGGCTCTCGTGGAGGCGAAACCCACCGAAGTAGAGTCCATCGAACCGGCACAGGCCGAGCCCACCTCGCCGGAAGCGGCTAGGGACAAGCGAGGGTTGCTACTGAGCGCGGCTTACACGGCCCCGATCGCATACAGTGCATACACTGCTCCGGCTCTCGCTTACTCCGCATACAGATACCCCTACGCGTACGCGGCCTATTCCAGCTACCCCTATTACGCCGCGGCCTACAGCGCGCCCTATTACTTGGCCTAGATTCGCCGAGCAACCGCACAGACCCGAGGGAACACGCGAAACTATTCGACCGACCAGTCAGCCTCTGATTTCACGAGCCGGATACACGACTACATCAGTCGCAACGCGTTATCACGTAAGATCATTCAGTTGAAGGACCATGTCGAGTGAAATTCTCTGCATTTCTTTTCAAAGCGTTTATTATTAATATCACTGTCCTCAACAAAACCGCGAAATGAATTAACTGTTATTTATCTCATTACCGAAAAATAAGAGAGATTGTTATTTTATGACGCACGGTTGGCTCTTGAGTATGATCTGTCAAAATCTTGGAAATATTATCGACCACCTTTTTGTAAAATTGTTCAAGAGTTACGTAGTGTGTTTAAGCGTGCGCGGAAAAAAATATCGTGATGATTCGATTAGACATTTATATGCATGATAGAACTTTTGAATGGATCGCGCACGAATGAACAGGAAGCGAACCATATTAAGATAACTGCATCTTAATATGGTTAACTCCGAATAGAGTATCTCACTTCGTAAAAAAGGTTGTTAGTAATATTTCTTGCAACTGTGTATCTATATTTTCTCAATCTAGAAAAAACTTTAAATTTATATATACCATATATCTGAAATACACTTATTACATTATTACACGCACACATATATGCAACATCTCTTTTTATAAATAGTCGACAATTTACGTGAAAACGAAACGGACCATCCACCATCTGGACTTGTATGAGCCGAACATTCGCAACGTGATATTATTATATAATACTCTATTCTCTAAAATGTTAAAAAAAAAAGACATTGACGAAGCGTTGTCGAGAATGTTTCTTTGTATATATTGCATTTATGAATCATAATCTCACTAAAAATACCTCAATTACATTATCATATACAATACATTCTACTATTTCGTCTAAATGTCTGTGTAAATCTGAATTTTTACGAAGAGAATATATTTGCAGCGTTATGTTAACAAAAATTGATGTAACGTTACTAATTTTTCTTCATATATCTTAAGTAAGATATTATTCGATGTATTTATGAACTTCATATGTAATCTACTCTAGAAAAAATATAATCCAATGCAATGATATTCAAAATATTTTTCTTTCTTTCCTCTCTTTCCATCATCTTGCAAGATTCAATTGTAAAACTGATATTTTTCAATTTTTCTCCCTCATGAAGATAAATAAATAAAATTAACATTTTATATTATAAAGAATATTAATGTTGCGACGAAACTTTGTTTTCCAGTTAATTCCAAGCGAACTATACAAGCAAAATTTAATCAAGATGTACTTATCGTCGGAATATTTAATGTTAAATAGTTATTAAACTTAGGTAAAGGACTTCGAAGTTGTACAAGCTGTGGAAGTTTGATGTAAGCTTCGCAAAAATATCTCGCTTAGCCTACAACATGTCGCGGCATGTTACTCTCGTAGATAGAATTGTACCCTTGACGACGACGTCAAATGCATTTTTAAGCACACACCTTTAGTAAAAGTTTAGAGGCACTCGCGGGAAAATACTGACGCAATGTATTGCGCGGAGAATTGCAAAGAAAGTTCTCGCGAGAGATCTCGCGTCTCCGAAGTAGTACTTAATGCCACTTTAAAAATAGAAAAATATCGAGTTTAGCTATTACTTTCATTATGTGTAGATACAAAAGCTCTGTCTTTTTTTTACTTTCTATAGCTTTATTATTTCGTCTATTTTCTTCGCAATTCTTGAAATCAATTTCTTTACATTAAAAAATGTTGTATGATATTCCACAGATTTTATTACATTTTACTATATTCGAATTTTATTGGGTTTCTCTATATGTGGGATAAGTAATTTAATAATTCTATATATAATATCGAATGGAGGAGAAAGAGAAAAGAAAGATAATTAACCGTTTTTGTCATTAAAATTTTATTAAAAAAGGATTCTAAAAATTACATTTTTAATAAAATAATAATATTTTAAAATACAGATTTTTCTATCGATTAAATAATGCACGCTTAATCTTAAAATTTATTCATCTAAAAAAGACTGACGTTTTCCTAAAGCTATAATTTATTCAACAATGCGAGTATATCGATTGTTTCAACACGGCAAATCAATGATAATAATAAGAATCAAAAAGCTAAAGGATTGCGACAAAATCGGCGTTACATATCAAATAAAGTATCCGGCGAAAAGTGCATCTCGTCAAGTGTCGGAAAAACATAGGGAAGAGTTTTACGGTCGCAGTCTGGCTCTAACTTTGGTATGGAAAAACTTTTAATTGCTTCGTTTAATTGCCGTCGTTAACCGTGATAATTAAGCTGAATCGCGCGACACATCCATCATAATCTCGGCACGGTAAATTATGTCGAGATTATTTCGGGCTATGAAAAATGAAAGATTTCGTGATTTCTTCATTTAATCGAAAAGAAATAAACATAAGATACTACTTTCCATTTCAAAAGATTGAATTTTCATTTTATTTGAATCTGTTTTCAAGTTAAATTAATACAATGAAAAGTAGCAATAAAAGGAAATATAATATTAAAATGAATTCTACATATATTGTAAAATAAAGAATAAAAAGAAAAGAAATTATTTGTTACATTATATAATATTTATTTCTTCCCTCCAAAATCTAACAAAAATTTTTAAAAATTCAGAAATAAAAAATTGTCATTATTTATTCAATTTTTAATCTCGTGATACTACCTATATTTATTAAATCATTAACTTAATCAGCCGCATTCGCACCTGGGAATTTGAAGTCTGAGAAATAAAACAAATAACCACTGGAATAATTTTATCGGCGAATCTCGTTAAAATCCCAGTAACTGCATTCGTAAATACACTCACTGTATTCAAAGCGAAATGCATTTTACATGCAACGCGTCGCACATGTCAATGAAAATGCCAAAAAGTTTGCGTGTGTTTCGGATGAGCGAGTTTTGCGACGACTGCCCGTTGACCCTTTTTTGACTACGCTAATCCTATACATACAGAGTGTTACGAAGTATTCGCTAACAAACATTTGGCGAATAACGTGATATTTGATGAAAAATAAATAAATAAATAAATGAAAACTATTTTTTGATTAAAATTTATTTGATAGTTATATGTCTTTCTGCAATTTTTAAAATTTTAATAAAGTAGTTCTCTCAGTGGAAATGCACGATATCTCTCAGTATTTATTTTTTTTCATATTTGAATTTTTTGACACAGTATAGTCCAATTAGCTAGCTTTTTTGTGCAACGGTTATGCGCACTACACGAGTGCATAACATTTTTGGAGTTTTGTGTGAAACATGGAGACCCAAAAGAAACTCTTGATGCAATCAAATCGCATCAAAATTGAATCGTTTCGAATAGTTTTTTAAAAATAAAATCTAATACAAATAAATCTAGATTCAGTTAGAGTGAAATTTATCTGAAATTAATTGCGGAAATGCTATTATCTTGCATTTTTAAAATACGATTTATCAAACCTTTATCTTTTTAATCGATCAAAGTTAAAATGTTATTTCTGCCTTAATATTCTTGTTAAAGGAAAATTATTTCAGGATTCGCCAGGGAATACTGCCACGTGTAGCGAGCGCGGCTATTTTATCGAACGCCTCGTATAGGTCAACGCAGGCAGCAAACGCGAGCGCGTAATCCCAGGATTTGAAGCCTCGAACCAGCGCGGTTACCGAACCGAAACAACTGGCGCATACTAATGGTCCCTTTCCCGAAACGCCAGGCACACGTTTTACGTTGTCTGGTACGACCGTAGTTTCTGATAGCGGTATTAACTCTAGCAACATCGAGAATGCAAAAATTAGTCGGGAGTTTTTAATAGCCGATGCAACGCGCTGCATTTTCTAGTAGCTTTGTCTCGCGAAAACAGTTGAGTCTTTTTTTATTTAGCGTTACATAATTATTATATATAACTATGAACGTAACATAAAATGTGAAGAAATAATTTATACTATATATAATAATATATATATATATATAATAATTTATATTAATAATAGCAATATATGTATATATATATATCTGATATATTATAAAAAATCCAAACGTTTCGAATATTGCGCATTTTGAATTTAAAAAAGTTTGCAGCTAAAATATATTTTTTATGCATTTCAAGAATTTATGTAAATTCTGAAAGAGCAATAAAAATCTAAAATTGTCCGCAGTAAAAATGTGTGGAATTTTTTGATATTAATTTTCTTTTGACGTTTTTGACATATAACCCAATCAACTAGCTTCGTGTGCAATTGCTACGCACAATATACAAGTGCGTCGCATTTTTTTGAATTGTGAAAGCGTTTGTGGAATGTGTGAAATATGAACACCTAAAAAAATCTCTTGATATATCGAAGCATTTTGAATATATAACCGTTGTATTTTTTTCGGATGCGTAAATCTTCCTTTTGTAACATACTAAATTTTCTCTCGAAACGCGTTAATCTCGTTATTTATTTCCCAGCTCTTTATCCTTCTTATTTTTCTGTTCTGCTTTACCATATTTTCGTGTAAAATATACATAAATGCAAACGATTAAAGGCGACGCAGTTTTTCGGTATCTCTGCGAGAGACGAGATTCATGCAGGGAACATACGCAATATTTCGTAGCCCGTATAAGCACCGCAGTGACAACATAAATATACAGGGTGTCCTTGATCGCACTTTCTTTCGAAAAGATGTCATATTGATTATAACATTATGGCAGCAAATTCTCCAATTAAGAACAAGCAAATACGAAGTATCAGGGTCATTTTCACCGACACCGGTTAACTGCAATTTCCGAATAAACTATAGCTTTCTCTTTTTAAGAACGTATCTGAAAAGAGACAAAGATATTGTTTAATTAGAAATTGAAGTTAACCGAGAGACGTTGGTGAAACTGACCCTCAGCAAATTAAATTCAAGCATATGTGCGAGCAAATAAAAATTCTGCTTTTCTTTCATTTTTCATAAAGTGACAATAAAATGTTAGTTCAAATTAAAAATAGAAAAAATAGAAAGTAAAGAGAAAAATGTGAAATTTTTACTTAGTAAAAACACGAAAGATATTTTCGAATAATTTTTAATTGTAAGAAAATGTGCGATATCTGAGCCACCCTATATGTAGAGGCAATATTACTAGCTTGGTCACTCTAGCGAAGGCCACACAGGCGACATACCAATGTCCGCACACACATTTCCCGAATTAATTTTCCAGAAAATACATGCAGAATGCCATTCTGGTCCATAGGCCATTAATTAAACGTATAACGTAAAATGGTGCACTCTTAATGTCTATTCAACACCCGGCGTTCCAAAAATGGAGCTTATTATCTTTTATGAATTTACTTTTTGACAAATTCAAATTATTCATAATTCATGCACAGTACCATATATTATTTATTTTATAAATTGAAAATAGTTTTGTTTAACGAGAATTGATAAAACCGTTATATATTGTCCACATTTTATTATTTAATGAATAATTATATGCCAAGCTTTTTGACTTATTTCTTTTAAATCAATAAATGCTCTCTATTTAACTCAAGTATTTACATAGTTTGCCGCGATATTAATAGTTTCTCAAAATGATTCTCATAATAGATATACATTTGTATCGATCGGTTTGCACAGGAGAAGATAGTTCTAGAATAACTAATTAAATAACTAATTTTATGCAAGGATAGTCAGCCAATAACAAAGCTTGGTACCTAATTATAGAATAATAACAATGTGTTAAATATCCCAGTAAGACTTTAATGTAAATTTGAAATCGTTCTTACAAAATACTGGTGGACTCGCGGGACGCGAGCTTTTCTTAATTAAATACGAGTTCGCGTCGACGAACAATTTCCTTCGACTATACCGGCTTTGCATTGCAAATCGCGGCCTCCGACAAATCTCGAGATTTGCATAAGTATAAAAATAACGAGCGGCAATGGCGCCCAGACTCAGACCGGTGAATCCCGGACAAGCTGCGAAAAAGGGTCGACGATACTCATTCCAAAATACTATATATTCCGCGAGATAAACTCTATGTTTCCGACCCTCTTCAGGCCTTCGGCGTTAATTAAACCCCAATAGAAATAGAGTGCTGTTGATATTTAGAACGGT